ATTACCCACAATGACCCTGACTGTGCCCGAGCCACAACCTCGTCTTCCAGGAGACTGCAAACTTCTCATCCCACCCACTTCTGAATCATTCTGCCACTGGTTGTCATTCCATGCTTTATGGAATTTCATGTACAGTAATCTTTTCTGCTTGTTGCCTTTCCGCAAGACCGCTTTCTCAGCTGCAACACACCCTGTAAGGCTTCTTATAAGATGACTTCTCACGGTTGAAGTGTGTACTATGGTGCCAAACGTCCCTCAAATGCTGAGGAAGCACTTTGGTGAGAAATTGCCTACTTCCTTTGTGACAGTCTGAACACCATGTCTTGAAAATCTAGGCACCAGAACAAAATATGTTCCTCTAGATATCTCACAAGGCATCGGTAGGACATTTTGTGTTATCTCTTGTTAAATAAAGTTTACTCTATTGCTAGTTTTTAACTACATAACTTTTTGATGAGGTCCCAAAAGTCTGAGACCATTCTTGATGCCACTTTTCTGTTTTAAAATTCATTTAAAATCTAATTTCAGATTTAAAAAAAAGAAAATTAAATGAACGCATCACTTCAAGCTTCCTGTCAGAAGTTCAGAACCTATGCGACGTTAAATCTTCAAACAGCTCTAGCGCAGGCTCCATCCGTCATACACACACACACACACACACACACACACACACACGCCTCTTCTGCAACAGCCCTGACGCTCAGCCTGATTTGTGATTTTCATTACCTCTGCAGTGTGTTACATACGGCATGCTGGGAGAATATATTCTGATTTGTCAAGTAAGATTTTGCAGTAAATGCAAGAGCCCGGTTGAGTGTGTGTTAAGAAAGACTTATCTAAAGACTTCCGATATTGATTATATCTTGCAAAAACTGTTGGCCAAACTGGAAAAAATAATCAAAAAATGAGAAAGCTCTCATTATCCAAATGCCTCAATAAATGTTTTAAATATAGTCAGAATTAGTCCAGTGGTTTTCAGCTGGAGGGTGTATGTGTGTGTGAGTGAGTGAGTGTGTGTGTGCATATATATACTGAACCAATTAATGTCCAAAGTAAAATCTGAGCAAAGCTACTTGAGAACCACTGGTCGGGTCGACAGCATTTGAATATTGAAATTGCGCATCTTTATCAGTCGTAGCCTCACGGGCAGAGCGCAGAAAACTACAAATAGAAATTATGTCGACAAGGCAATGATAGAGAGAAAGTGGGAGTTTGTAATTGCACAGTGAACAGACGGTAAAAGCGAGCGATGTAGTAGCCCCGCCCCCTTTCGGGAGCCCTGACCTGACCTGACAGACAGCTCTGCTCGACCAATCAGTTTGCACTGAACTCACGAACGACAGGCAGCAATTTGCCTGTCCCCGGGGAGACTGGGTGGAGGATGCGCGCACGAGCATGTGTGCTTCATTAGGAGCGCGGCACAGACAGCTGGATGGATACGCGCTTCTCCGGTCCTCAGTCCGCGGTGCGCTCAGCATCTTTTCCAAAACAACCGTATGGAGAGAGACCCCACCACATCTCTCACACTGTCAAATAAAGCTAAAATTCATTTGGATCTAAAATCTCCATAATAAGGCTGGAGCTCGATCCCGCGATTGAGAGGAAAGGAATATATTATGCGTTTCAAACAAGGAATCTAATTCTCTCCGGTAAGCGCGGCTCTCTCATCCTCTCATGACTCATGAGCATCCTGTGTGATGGGGGATTTTAATAGCGTGCCAATGCAGGGCTCTTAAAGCCAAACGTACTGTATGCGCTCAATGAGTATTAGCATCACTTCTGTATATATGCTATTTTAATCATCCGTTTTAATCATTAACATATTTTGGATTAGAAAAGCTCTGCGAATCCGCGTAAGAAATGTCGTAATCTCGCGCAGAGACTCTACAGGTAAGGGGGAGGAATAACTGTGAATCCAATGATGTGATGAAAGTGATCAAGAGGAAATTATTGATTTATGACTCCCAAAGTTACTGTAAAGGATTTTATAGATTTTAGTGCGAGTAATACAATTATAAGGTATATTCTGTACCAAGTTTGAGAATGTATTAATATTCTGAAAAAAAAAAGCTTAGTAAAAGTTATTAATATTGAACAATGAATGCTTCATTATCAAAATTGAGGATTTAGGCCAAACTGTATTATTCTTACACATACTCATCTGGATGTTACCTAAACATTATCTTAACATTAAAACAAATGTTTAGCATTATTTCTGGACAATTAGATTTGTTCATGCACAATCAACCATCATAAAATGGTCTTATAAATCTTGCTGTATCACTGTGTGTAAAATTTGTGATGGTCACAGATGCTTTCAAGCGCTACAGTGAAATATAACAAAAATATTTTACGCCACAGCTCATATAGCACCTCATTTTAACAAACGTCATTCGGTTCTGCTATTCTTCAGCTTAAAATATAAAAACATGCCATCTACAAACTAAATGCAGGTTATGTTTGCTTCCTATGTCAGATGGTAAAAGAGGTTGTGATGCAGCAATATAAAACAAACCGGCTATGAACTTGAGTTTCCTCAGCATAGTTCATGTAGTTCTGGAATAGGACACTTAGGGATCTTAGAGTAGTACAGTTATATGTTAAAAACATTTGGCTTCTCTTCTGGTATGCTGTTACAAAGTTTGGGTTTTTGGTTTGGAATCAAAATGCAATAATACAGGTTAATGTAATATAAAAAGGGACAAGGAACCAAAAAGGGACATGTATTTGGTCTAAGCACCACTGATTTATGGTATTTGCTCCTGCCTCGTGTATGAACAAGGTGTAGATGGGAGTGTAGAGATGAAAGAGAGAAATCAATAAGGACAACAGAAGAAAAATGCTAACATGTCTTAAGACAGGGCTGAAGAATATGTGACAGAAATAGCTGATATATCTATAGGGATTCTGTCAGCAGTGCTGAAGCGTAATTAATTGCTGTCGTACGGTGTGTTCACCAGCAGTGCAGAGCAGGTGAGAGCTGGAGGACTATATAACACACACACACACACACACACACACTCTCTGATGGTGCTTGTGTCAGCATAGTATCTTAGCTAATTATACTTCACACCAGGCATTTGAAGTGACACCATGTAGTGTGAAAGGAAACAATGCTGATGTATTACAGCACACTGGGGAAAACACACTCATGTAGTCAGGCTCATAACTCATGAAGTAAAGTTGGTTATATTGTACAGTTTTGAACAGATTAGTATAAAAGAGTAGAACAGAACAGAATAGTATAAAGCGAACAAAACAGAATAGAATGGAATAAACAGAATGGAACAGAATAAAGAGCAGAGAAAACAGAAAACAGAACTGAATACAATATAATAGAAAAAAACAGAAGCAATACAACAGAGGAGAAAAAATATAACACACTATAGCGAATAAACAGAATAAAATAAAAAAACAGAACAAAAGAGTAGAACAGAATATAAAATATTAAAACAGAATAAATAGAACAGAGAGGAATAAAATTGAAAAAGCAAAATGGAGTATAACGGTAAAACAGAATATAAATTAGAACTTAATAGTACAGAATATAATAGAATATAATAGAAATACACTGAATAGAAAACACAATAGAACTGACTAATCAGAATTAAATATAATTAGACATAGCAGAACGGAATAGACAAAATTAGAAAAGAGCAGAAAAGTGTATTAGGATTGAGTAGAGTAGGATAGAATGGTATAGATAAAACAGAACAGAATAGGATAGAATAGACAAAACAAAACAACATAATTCAATACTGCAAAACAGGAGACAAAAACAGAATAAATGAAAACAGAGGAGAAAATAAAAGAACACATTAGCAAATAAGCAGAATAGAACAAAAGAGTATAATATATTAAAAACAGAATAAAATATATTAAAAACAATAAAAATAGAATAGAATAAAACAGAACTGAAAAGAATATAGAACAGAATAGAAAACACAATAGAACTGAATAAGAATAAAAAAATAATTTGACAAGAAGAAGAGAATAGAACAAATTAGAAAAGGACATAATTTTAAGATTGAGTAGAGTAGAATAGAAGGTAATAGAAAAAAAACTGAAGAAAATGAAACAGAACAGAGTAAAACAAAACAACAGAATTAAATACCACAGAACTGAAAAAAAAAAAAAATACAACAGAGGAAATTAAAATAGAACTCAATAGAATACAGTAGAAAAAACAGAATAGAAAAATGCATAATGAAACCGAATACAATAAATTAGAAAAATTAGAATAGAGTAGAACAGAGTAGAAATGAACACAGCAGAACAAAACAGAATAGAGCAGAAAATAGAACAGTGCAGAATATAACACACTATAGAATTTATAAGAGAATACAACAGAACAGAATCAAATAAAGCTGACCAGGGCAGCGTTTCCCAAAGCATCGTAAGCCTAAGTAGATCGTAGAACCATTGCCACCAGTGATTTCTACGATGAGAAACGCAGCCCAGATCAGAACAGACTTGAACATGGCAGAGCAGAATTAGAAAAGAGCAGAAAATAATAATAGAATTGAGTAGAATAGAATGGAATACATAAAACAGAATAGAAAAAACTCTATTTTCCTAATCTCAACCAGGTATATCCACAGTGTCATTACTAGTTTTACATGTGAGTGGTGTTATACTGGAAAAGTCAACTTATAGAGATGATTAACTTCAATTCAAAAAAATGAAAGCAAAAGAAAATTTCAGCTACAGAATCTGTAAATGAATTAAAACCAAAGCAGAAGGTGATTGAAGCCAAACTAAAAGTGGTCCTGGTCACATGGTCAAGGGCTAAACGTTTAATCCATTAACTTCACCATCACAAAGAGTCTGCCTCTGCTGTGTTTTAAGTATTCTGCCCGCCGCACACGTATTTCGCTCTTGCTTTCAGTCACTACGCAGTATGAAACAAAACCTGAGCAGCCCCCTCAGATCCAGTCCATTCCCTAAACACAAACCAGAGGGGAAGGAGTTTCGCAGTCTGTTACGCCATCGTAATGTGACAAGGTGTCACCTCCAATTCATGATGTCCCCCCGCACACGCTTCGCTAGGAGCGCTGCCCCGCTGCCGAAGTATGGCAAGATTTCTACTCATTCCAGCCTTGTGAATAAAACATAGCACAGCAGGGCCACTTTATGTGGTGTCTGTAGCATTAGACGAGTTGATGGAAAAGAGAGAGTGTGTGTGTGTCTATGTGTGTTAGTTTCTTGAGTACTTTCTCTAAAAGAGGCAAACCATAAATATTTCAGGTAAAGTGGTTGGACTCTTGACTCTAGGAAAGGAGCGGTTTTCAACAAAAAGCTGTGATTAATGCAGACAGACAGAGGAACTGCTGTTGGTACTGTTCAGACAAAACACACTACAAACGTTCACTGAAAACTTGCTTAGAAAAGCACTAGGTGCTAAACGCACACAACTTCTTTGACAGGTAGTCAATCACCACATACTTCATGTTTAAAATATGGTGGGATTTTGAAAATTTCACTGTGGGTGATCACTCCACTTGTCTGTATTTGTTCGGTATTTCCAACATTACTCCCAGCTTTGGCTTCAGAACAGTTTAGCTGTACATACATATATATATATATATATATATATATATATATATATATAACAAATGTATCTAATCCCATTTTATTAACCAAATTCTTTGCTGCTGACCTTTGATGATCCAGTTCAACCATACTGATAAGCAAAAATTACGTTAGAGAAACTAACAATTGTGCTTCATTGTTTTTTTATTGCTGAAGAGTGTTGAACCTTCTCCTGCGTTCTACTGTACAGACGTGAATTTACTTTTCCTTCAGCCTGAGGTTTATTCTTTAGACTTTTTGGTGTGAAAGGGCTTTTATATTTGCTATAAATAGAACTTCTTATATTAAAAACAATCAAGCCCTGCTCATATTTAAAAAGTAACTTGAAAGTAACGCAAAAGTAATGTAATGCATTACTTTCCGTAAAAAGTAACTAACGTAATTAGTTACTTTTTTAGGGAGTAACGTAATATTGTAATGCATTACTTTTAAAAGTAACTTTCCCCAACACTGTATATATATATATATATATATATATATACACACACACACACACACACACACATGTGTATTTAACAACATATATAGTTAAAAAAAAGTGTTGTTACTAATAAGAAGAAAAAGTACTGTTAAATTTGAAATTATTACAGATTTAGTCTGCTTTCTTAAAATAAGATTACATGAAATCTCAATTATTTTATTCTACTGAAAACCACAGTTTTATGTTTCTTTTCAAGATTACAGTACTCTAATGATGGATAGAAAAATAACACAGTGTCAAATAAACAGAAAGCAAATATTTCCCAGATAATAAATATTTTACACACATTTATAATTACATTATATATAATTACAATAAAAGACTGTGACGTTCAATGGAACAAAATGGAAAGTCTAATCACATTAGACAAGCAGCAATAACTGTTCTAGAAACCACAATTAATCACTGACAAAATCATGTCATAATAGTGTTTCATTTATATTATATACATCTTGCAAGATACTGTGCATCTGTGTGCATGTGTAATGCATGTGTGAACCCATGATGCAAGTGAACTGGGCAGAAATAGTTTGCCCCTTTGACCCTTTCCAGGATTCAGCTATAGAAGCACTTTCTATTATTTCAAATCCATGTCATGAACCACAGCTGAGGGCTCTCTTAGTTAAGAAGGACACATACATGAACAAATCAAATTAGTGTGTGTGGGCATCTTCAGAGCAAAGCTCTTAACAGAAAATAGACTGAAATGGGAAAGATGGAGATGTGTGTCCTTGTGTGTGCATCACTATTTGTTCACACTTATGTTCAGCTCAGTGCATCCATATTGTGCTTGTCATAGCAACAAAGAGCATGTTCTCTGCTGATAATGGCAGTTCATTATCTGTTAAATAAATTAGCTATTTGAGAAAAATAGCTTTTGAAGCTGATTTAAATGATGAGACACAAATTTGGCCAGTTAAAGTCAAAGTGAAGACATTAAAGTATCAAGCAGATGATATTAATATACATGAATATACTAATATACATAATGATATATTTTAATCATTTATATATAATTATTTATAATAATTTTACACACACACACACACACACAATGAAACTAATATACATCAAAATTCCATCAATTTGATATTAAGAAATATTTTGAATTGGATTTATTTGACATTTACATTTAGAGATATAATTAATTGCTACACACATTTGTATACCAATTTAAACAAAATTTAATTAAGATATTTAATTATATTTATTTTATACATTTATATTTTAAGAATATAAATTTTTAAGAATTAATTTAATTGACACATTTAATTGTATTTATTTTATATACTGTATCTATTTATTTATTTTAGATTTTAGATATTTATATTTATACATTTGTATATTTATATAAAAAACCCGGACATCTACAAAAAAAAAAAAATTTGACATCTATGCAGAATCAATGTCTTTTTTTATCGGTTCTTTTATTAACTGATTCATTAAAACAAATCAGACTTTTCAACACGGTCTATACTGTCTATAAATATAAGAGACATGGAAATTCTTGGAGAGCACATCTGATTATTGACTTCTCGCTCGGGCTGTAAAACTGTGTGCAATACAATGTAACATAAAAACACTGATATTTTTGCTATTATACCAATTGCTTGTTATTGAAAGCCACTGCTTTTAGTTAGTCTCTCCTCAACACTGCAACATACCGCCTAATTCTCATACATCAGACAGTAAGCAGCTTCTGAAATAATTTTACAACCTCATAATTTGTACGGTCGTTGGAATGAATGGTGATCTTTGCACAATCCTGGCAAAAAGCAGACTACAGGACCAAACAGATGGCTATGCAAGGAGAAAGGAGAAAAAAATGCTCCCACCTGCTTGTGTTGACTCGGCGCCATAGTCGCACTAACATAAGCACACTGTCCTACAGGAGTTCTTTTGCAAACCTGCTCCTATAGTGATACTGACAGCTTCATCTAGCACAGGCAGGCGGCACTTTTCTAGCACTTTGTGCTTTCTGTCCTCAAGGTTGCAAGCCTATCATAATTTCAACATATGGACTAAGATGTAGCAAATATACGCTGAGATTTTCTGTGTAAGCATCCAAATTTTTATATTTATATTAGGGCTATCAATCGATATCATTGAGCATAAACCTTATCACAAACCTCACAGTGCACAGCAAATCCATTTTGTAACCGAGTTATCAATCTGTCCAAGACAGATTTAGAGTGCAGTATTTATAAGACGCCCCATCAATTTGATTAAAAACTGATTTATATTAAATGCAATTGAAAACACAGACCACATCAGATTTTGTCACTATATAAAAGGTTAAAGAGCAACTTAACGGGTGAGGGATAACAACCGCTCGTGCCACTGCAATTGCACAAACAAATATTTCATGCAAGACAGCTGCTCACTGTGTAATGCATTCAAAAATAGTTTTAGTCAACCATACAATAGATACAAAGCACAGAGTGTGAGTTAACAGACAAATTTTAAAACGTCTTAATTAACTTACTGTGTCCATGGGCAGCTGCCACTGAGAGACAAAATGCAGTGGTTATCGCTGAGCCCTTTGGGATAGCACTTCATTGTGAAATAATTGCCCCTCTGTGCATTCAGCTGGCTTTAATGTCTATTTATGAGACAATAAAAAACCAATGTTAGCAATGCCCAGAAACACAAATGAAATGTGTTATGTATGACGAGAAATCACAGTTGTTAAATTGGCTTTCATATAAATGCGGTTAAAGTAAATTATTATATTCGCAGCGCATCATAGCGTAGAAATGAAAGCATGTTACAACAGATTTAAGTGTCTGGCCAGTCAGTCGCCAAATAAAGCTCATTAGCTCACAATTACAAAATGATCAATGACAGAAATAAGATGGCACTACTGATGCTCTTAACCCAGGGGGAGAATGGTTGTGATGTATGCAAATTTTCTTAACACCTGCCCTCATGCACATAAAAGCTCTTTGACATTTGAACATATTGCGAGAGCAGTCCCAGTGGTCACATGATAGATGTGGGAAGGGTAGGCATATGAGGTCAAACCAGCAATAATGTATTATTTGATGGCACGAAAAAGCAATAATACCTTCACTCATATGGCCTAAATATATCGTCATGCTCCTAAATGCCAATGTGGCTCTTCTTGACGCTAATGTGACACCGTATTCATTACCTCTCCTGTCTCTTATTTTCCACAGATGGGAAGTGACGAGTGTGACTGACTGAACATAATAATGATGGCAGACAAGTGGTCCGTCTCCCACAGGAACCTGAGCTCACCCTGCAAATTTCCACTTTCCCTGCTTCTATTCCCCTAAGGATACGCTGACCTTCACATATGCAGCCTGCATGACAACCCAAAGCAGGGCAAATTGAAAGGTTGCTACTCTCTGCCAAGGACAACAACAGGCGAAGTTGCTGCTTTGGGGTACTCGCCATCAGCAGAAATACACCCTGTTGTCATAGCAAATGATTCTGTGTTTGTGAATTTAACGCCTCTAACACCAGACCCCATAAGGACCAATTACAAGCTGAAGACAGGAGGACCAAGATGAAAGATTTGTTGTTTGCAGTCTGTTTGCTGGCAGGACTTGCGCTGACTAACTCAGTTCAGGCCTCCGAGTGGAGGGCTGTGTGCCTCAAGCTGTGCAAATGTGAAGTCCGACCCTGGTTCTCTCCCTCGTCCATGTATAATGAGGCTCCGACTGTGGATTGTAATGATCTAGGACTTCTGTCTCTGCCTGAGAGGCTGCCCTCCGACACACAAGTACTTCTATCACAGGCCAACAGCATCGCAAAGATTGACAGTCCCTTGGACTATCTGGTAAACCTAACAGAGGTAGACCTATCTCGAAACAACATATCCTCATTGAGTGATGTCTATCTAGGTCACCTTCCACAACTTCTGTCTTTGCATCTAGAGGAGAACTGGCTAAGCAGGCTTCATGATAACTGCCTTGCAAACTTCCCAAACTTACAGGAGCTATATGTTAACCATAACCTTCTCTCCTTGATCAGTGCAGAGGCCTTCCGAGGGCTTAACAAGCTCTTGAGGCTCCATCTTAATTCGAACCAGCTGAGGGCCATAAGAACAGAGTGGTTCCAGGATCTTTTCCAGCTGGAAATCTTGATGATAGGAGAGAATCCAATTGCCAGAATACAAGACATGAATTTCAAGCCCCTTATCAATCTCCACAGTCTTGTGCTAACCAGAATGAACCTTACTGAAATCCCTGACAGTGCCCTGTTTGGACTCGATAAGCTGGAAAGCGTGTCATTCTATGATAATATGTTCCCAAAAGTACCTCAAGCTGCTCTCAGACAAGTGCAGAACCTCAAGTTTCTGGACCTTAACAAGAATCCCATAGAGAGGATCCAAAGGGGTGACTTTGTGGACATGATCCACTTGAAAGAACTTGGTATTAACAGTATGCCAGAGTTAGTTTCCATCGACAGTTTTGCTGTGCACAACCTACCAGAGCTGACCAAAATCGAAGCGACGAACAACCCGCGACTTTCCTACATCCACCCGAATGCATTCTCCAAACTCCCGAGGCTCGAGTCCTTGATGCTGAATAGCAATGCGCTCCGGGCCCTTCATCCTGTGACGGTGGAATCCTTGCTCTTAACACCTGCCCTCGTGCACATAAAACCTCCTTGACATTTGAATATATTGCGAGAGCAGTCCCAGTGGTCACATGATAGATGTGGGAAGGGTAGGCATATGAGGTCAAACCAGCAATAATGTATTATTTGATGGCACGAAAAAGCAATAATACCTTCACTCGTATGGTCTAAATATATCATCATGCTCCTAAATGCCAGTATGGCTCTTCTTGACACTAATGTGTCACCGTATTCATTTCCTCTCTCTCCTGTCTCTTATTTTCCACAGATGGGAAGTGACGAGTGTGACTGACTGAACATAATAATGATGGCAGACAAGTGGTCCGTCTCCCACAGGAACCTGAGCTCACCCTGCAAATTTCCACTTTCCCTGCTTCTATTCCCCTAAGGATACGCTGACCTTCACATATGCAGCCTGCATGACAACCCAAAGCAGGGCAAATTGAAAGGTTGCTACTCTCTGCCAAGGACAACAACAGGCGAAGTTGCTGCTTTGGGGTACTCGCCATCAGCAGAAATACACCCTGTTGTCATAACAAATGATTCTGTGTTTGTGAATTTAACGCCTCTAACACCAGACCCCATAAGGACCAATTACAAGCTGAAGACAGGAGGACCAAGATGAAAGATTTGTTGTTTGCAGTCTGTTTGCTGGCAGGACTTGCGCTGACTAACTCAGTTCAGGCCTCCGAGTGGAGGGCTGTGTGCCTCAAGCTGTGCAAATGTGAAGTCCGACCCTGGTTCTCTCCCTCGTCCATGTATAATGAGGCTCCGACTGTGGATTGTAATGATCTAGGACTTCTGTCTCTGCCTGAGAGGCTGCCCTCAGACACACAAGTACTTCTATCACAGGCCAACAGCATCGCAAAGATTGACAGTCCCTTGGACTATCTGGTAAACCTAACAGAGGTAGACCTATCTCGAAACAACATATCCTCATTGAGTGATGTCTATCTAGGTCACCTTCCACAACTTCTGTCTTTGCATCTAGAGGAGAACTGGCTAAGCAGGCTTCATGATAACTGCCTTGCAAACTTCCCAAACTTACAGGAGCTATATGTTAACCATAACCTTCTCTCCTTGATCAGTGCAGAGGCCTTCCGAGGGCTTAACAAGCTCTTGAGGCTCCATCTTAATTCGAACCAGCTGAGGGCCATAAGAACAGAGTGGTTCCAGGATCTTTTCCAGCTGGAAATCTTGATGATAGGAGAGAATCCAATTGCCAGAATACAAGACATGAATTTCAAGCCCCTTATCAATCTCCACAGTCTTGTGCTAACCAGAATGAACCTTACTGAAATCCCTGACAGTGCCCTGTTTGGACTCGATAAGCTGGAAAGCGTGTCATTCTATGATAATATGTTCCCAAAAGTACCTCAAGCTGCTCTCAAACAAGTGCGGAACCTCAAATTTCTGGACCTTAACAAGAATCCCATAGAGAGGATCCAAAGGGGTGACTTTGTGGACATGATCCACTTGAAAGAACTTGGTATTAACAGTATGCCAGAGTTAGTTTCCATCGACAGTTTTGCTGTGCACAACCTACCAGAGCTGACCAAAATCGAAGCAACGAACAACCCCCGACTTTCCTACATCCATCCGAATGCATTCTCCAAACTCCCCAGGCTCGAGTCCTTGATGCTGAATAGCAATGCGCTCCGGGCACTTCATCATGTCATGGTGGAATCCTTGCCTAACCTTCAGGAGGTGAGCATGCACTCCAATCCCATTTACTGTGACTGTGTCATCCGCTGGATCAATATGAACAAGACCAAGGTCCGCTTCATGGAACCAGATGCCCTCGTATGCGCTGGGCCCTCAGAGTTTGAAGGTCGTCTTGTCAGGCATGTGCACTTCCGTGAAATGGCGGATATCTGCCTACCACTAATAACTCCGGAGAGCCTTCCTAATCAGGTCAATGTGGGTGCCGGGTATTCGGTCTCTCTACACTGCAGGGCATTTGGCGATCCTGAACCTGAGATCTACTGGGTCACACCTTCAGGCGAAAAGATCTTGCCTCAAATGGTTACCAAGAAGTATCACCTGCATCCTGAGGGAACGTTTGACATTTACGGCATCACAGAGAACGAGGCTGGGCAGTACACCTGTGTGGCCCACAATCTCATAGGTGCAGACATGAGATCTGCCTCGGTTGTAGTAAATGGGTACTACCCACTACCGGCAAATGAATCCTTGCACATCCAAGTCAAAGGGATTGAGCCACATTTGGTGAGGATTTCTTGGGTGCCACCCAAGGGCAGTCTTGTGTCGAATATTAAGTGGTCAACAACATCACAGCAGCACTCCTTGCAGTTCACTGCCCATGTGTTGTCAGATGTAAAAACGTTCAACCTCACACACTTGCAGCCACTGATGCAGTACGAGGTGTGTGTGGAAATTACGGACCTGCAAAGTAGACATTTGAAAAACTGCATGAATGTCAGCACCACTGAGGTTTCAATAGGAAAAACCGATGATGGTATCAGTGACAGATTGATAATCGGCATCACTGCGCTGCTCCTGATCGCGTCCACAGTGGTCTGTTCGTTCATTTGCATGTTGTGGAGGAGTGATCACCTTTACAGGAAATTACGAAATCAGCAGTCTGAGATATTACCCTCACACATTAAACCAATATGGGGGTCAAGGGCTAAAGCCAATGATTCAGAAACAGACTTGACAAAAAACTCAATTTGAGAGAAGAGCAACAGTTTGTGATGCTGTGGACACTGGACTATGTGTCTCTAATAACTCTCTCAATCTGATACCAACTCACACCACTGGATCATTATGAAATGGATTCTGTGTGGTTTGTGGTCCAAGACATTTCTTGCTAAATCTGACATTGATTGCCAAAAACCCACTAATTGTTTAAATGTCACACTTCACTGGGGAGCATGAAGAGAATCGTTATTTCATGCGGGATCAAAGAACAGCACATGGAAGGTTGGGCCTCAGTGGCCAAGTCTTTTTATTGTGGGCTTGTAGCAACACTTACTTGTGCTGTGTCATTGGTAAAATAAACAATGTCAAGTTTATGATGGACTACGCTTTGTAGAATAGATCATAACAGTACACATGTACGACACTTTGTGATAAAATACATTTATACAGAAAATGACTACTTGTTTTCATTGCAAGTGTTTTACTCTTAAAATGCCTTCATTTGACTAATTACACTGTCAACTGAAAAGACATAAACGTAAAAGAAACAGAAGAGATGCACAAGATGAAAAAAAAAGTGAAGTTTTCATGAAGTAGATGTGCGGGTGCATCATTAGCTTGAAAACCTTTTTAATGTGGCAAAAAACAAACAAACAAACAAAAAATGTGTATTTTAACCAAAGTCTATATATCAGATAAAAATAACCTTTTTTATATTTACAAAAATACAACAACAGAGGCTGCCCGAAAATTTATATGAGCCTGGGGAGTTGAAATATGAGAAAATAGAGGAAAATGAGGAGGTGGAGTTTTTCAGTGTGAAGGTGGGGTTTGGGGAAGAAAAAAATTCACAGAACTCATTGAATTTAAGTCACATTATCTTCTCTTTCATTAAAAATCCAATAGGAATTCCAATGCTAAACTCCCACAGGTGATGAATTGCCATCACAGAACGAATGATGTGGGGGATTTATCAGACTTGCATGCTCATATATCACAGGGGGTTTTAGCACCCAACACGGGGGCTTTTAGAGTTGGGCCATTTGTCACCTACACAGAAGTTAAATTATGCGCCATTATAGCGGTAGGTACAGAATAGGTCAGCAGGAATGTGCTGCATCTGGTCTCTCAATTTCACAGTGAGCCTGGTGAGACGTGGCGGGCATTATGGACACAGCAACACGTGTGGTTCATACAGAGAGGGCAAGCAAT